AGGAAACAAAGGGGCTGGGAACAAATGCCGCCAAGGGAAACGTCTTCGAGGGTTTAGTCTTATCCCAGCTCCATGTGCTCTGAATAGTAATCCGCGCGTTCCCAACCGCTGGAGCTTCGTATGACCTGGTCATCTCTGATTTCCTCCTCCTACCAGGATGGCCATCAGTTAATTTTGCCTCTCTGTCTCATCTTGTTTGGCTTATTTATTATTTTTTTAATTACCACTGTTCTTAAATCCATGCTGCTTGTATTTGGCAGAGTCTGATGCTGCCTGATAGAGTGTTCACCCTCTTATTTAGCAGTTTGTCTGTAGAGTGAGTCTTTAGATTAGCTTCTCCACAGGGTCTTTTTCCTCCCTAAATGTCTTTGGCTGAGAAGCATCAGTCTGGCTTCTAGGTGAACACATCAGTATTTCCATAAACTTGCATTATGGCCAGGGTCCAAAAGAGAGGGAGAGAGCGTGCTTTCTGCTTTCCGTACAGCATCCTGTGTATCTCCAGTAAGCAGCAGTTTTTCCTTCAGCAGCCTCTATTCCAAAGGGGCAAGATGCAACTTTACTGGTTTAGGCTTCTGTTTTTCAGTAAAAAAAGGCTCCAGTCGGAGTCAGGTACTGCAGTGTTTGCTATTACCTGTGTTCATTTTAGTTCCGCTGATCTGTGATTAATTTGTTATTGCAACCTCACACTTGGTATTTTAATCACTTACAAAGTGAAAGAACACTCCGCTAGGGTTTCTACAGCAACATTTTAACTATGCCCTCCCATGTGTCCGTTGCACTTCTGTGTGGACATGAGTGCACACATTGTTCTCTCTTTCTGCGTTTTCTTCTGGGCGTATGTATATGCATTAGTTTAGAATCTGTCAGGACTGGCAAGAGTTTAATTTGTTTTTGAAAAATTTAAATAGTTACGAGGCGTTAGCCTGAAAGCAACTCATTATGGCCATTTATAAGTTGCCTGAAAATTTGTTGCTGTTACGACAAGTTGGTTGCTGTTATCCTTTAGGAAGGACTGGTTAAAAGCATGCTCAGCCTAGCTGGTTAAGGCTACCTTCATTGCCTAGTAAACATTTCTTGGCATCACAATAATAGCAATATTTCATTTTCCCCAACCTCAGCTCTTTTTTCCCCGCTAGCCTGGAAGAGCCAGGGTTCTGCTGCTCAGAATGGGAGGAAGATAGTGGATGAGTATGATGAATCTTGCAAAACACTTCAGGCAAAGCTTTGAGTCTAGTACTTATTCATGCATTCTGATTTAATTTGTCTCCCCTAGGTGTGTGGGCCTGCAGGAATCTTCCAGTGAACTTTCTTTGCCTATATAGGGTGGGGGAATTTGTGTTTGAGGTTGCAAAACGGTACTAGGCGGGGGAAGGGAGGAGTGTTTCATGGAGAAAAAGGTCAGGAAGCAGCTTGGATTATAAATGAAGCATCCGAAAAAATTAGGTTTCATAATGATCCCCTCTCCAAGACAGTGGAGGTTTAATCACATGATGCAGATGTACATATCAAGTCTTGAATATTTTAATTTTTATCATCATTACTATTTTCTCTGTAATCATACAAGGAGAACGGGCCTCAATTTGTTTTAATAACTGTAAATGAGCTTTCAGCCTGATGATGTGAGGTCTGCTAATGCTAAGGGAAATACTGATTTTGTTAGAATTTACAAATGAGGGGCTTAGCTTGGCTTCTATTCAAGATATCAGTAATAGTTTCACTGTAAGTAGAAGCAGTCCTTTTCTTTTCCAAAAACACCGACACTGATACAGTCTGGTTTTCTCAGGATTTATGCTTTGTGCCTTGATTGCAGCTTCTTTTTTGGCTGGACCATTTATGAGGTCTTTTCCCAGTATGGTTTTTTTTGTGTTTGAACTGTATGAGCTCTTGTTGCAGCCTTTCCCTAGGGTGTAGCACCTACGGTTGTTGTATATAATCTCTCTCATCTGCCTGGCTACCTACTCTCATTAAACTTGTAAGACGCTCATTATCTCTGTGACTTCTGCCTGTGTCACGTTTGTCACAATCAGACAACAGATTCAGACGTTACTGACAAGAACAAAGACAAAACAACGGTTACCTGGACAGACAGAACAATTTTGAGAACCTTGATGCTCTTGGACATCAGACTTAAAGTATCCAAAATAATTAGAAGTGTGTCTAAAATGATACCGCTTTACACTTTAAGGGTGGACTCTACTTTCATTTTTATAAATGATTTTTAAAAGAAGAAATAAAGGCTTATTACTCTGATGTAATTCAGATCTCTTATAAAGATGCTAAATATGAGATGTTCTTAGTGCATTTAGTTTCCTTAAAAAGTTTTGGCGCTTCTGTATGAAACTGATGAAAACTCATTCACAGATTGAATTAAAAGAAAAAGGAATGAAAAATTACGTTTGTTGAATTAGGAAAATAAGCAAGCAGGCCTTTGTAAGCCTCAAAAGATCTCAATGGATCTGGGCACTAAATACAATTTTAATCCTGAAATGATAGTAATTTCAGAAAAAAAGATAGTATTTTCAGAAAAAATTGTCTCAAGATGTTGAGAAAATAACAAACCTTTGCAAACTGCACTAGTTACATTACTTCACATTACATCTGAACATGAGCTTAGTATTTTGATTGTACTTACTGTGCACAGAGTTAGTCTCTGTTGGTAGCAGTCCCATGGAAGTCAACGAAACCATGCTCATGGCCAAAGTCAGCAAATCTGTACAGCACACCTAAAAACTTCCATGGGGTCACTTGTAGGAAAGCAGCTGCTAGAATAGGTTTTAATTTGTGCACAATTGCACAGGGTTGGCTGTTTTTTCCTCTCCTAATATTTGACAACCCAAATACCAAGCTGTTGATAAAGCAAGGAATAATAATTCGAATGTATGAACTGTAGAGTCAAAAAAAATGCTCTCTTTTTATAGATTCCTCAGATTACCTGAGGAATTGTGGAATTATTAGAAAATACTCCCATAATTCATCAACAGCATGGGTTTTTCACGTGTGCAAGTCACAAAATGAAACTTATACAAAAACTTCCTTTGCCTTAATCGCTTTCTAAAATCACCCTACCTTTAGTCCACCCTTTATCTCTCTTTCCTGTCACTGGCTCTGATTTTGCATGGATTATATGAGGGTTAGCAAAGGACTAATTTTCAATCGGTGATTCTTGTAAACAGATGAAAGTATCTGATGTGTGGGTTATACATGGAAAAATGCAGTAGTCCTTCCGCATTTGGGAAACATTTAATACCAAGCATTTAAAATTCAGCTGTGGAATCAGCCTAATTCTGCTCCTACTTAAACCAATAGCAAGCCCACTGATTAGCCTCTTCCTGTCTTCAGTAAAGCTGCATACCTTTATTTCAGAGTAGCTCATACAGTATGCTCTCTGCATAGATTGTAGAAAAGCTGCGCACTTTCAGCTCTCCGTGGAATTAAGTTAAAATACTATTGACAAGTGAAGGCCTGAGTCAGTTGCAGCTTATGGCCACTGATACCTCTCAACCAAATCCCTCTGGTGTTCCCTCCTGACCTGGTTAGAGTCAAACAAGCAATCTAGATGTGAAAGATGAGAGCAAGCATTGACTTCAGGCAATGCAGAGGAAAGTTCAATACCAATATACGAGAAATTCCCCCAGGAAATCAATACAAGTACAAAGCAGAGAGAATAACCAAACAGCCAGACAGAACACGTTGGACTGAAATGATCTGCAGAATATCTCCCTAATAATTTCTCGCTATTAGTTCTTCACATAATCAAGTATGCTGGGGCCAACAGATCAACCGCTGCAATCAATGGAAAAACTTGTGCACGTGACTTAGTGGACACTGACTGACATCACATAGCTCCAGACAGGGTTTAAATCAGGATTAGAAGTCGAGGAAACAATACTTCATACAAAGGAGACCTCCATGTTGGAAATGGGGCACAATATGGGTGCCATAATGAGTCAACATTTTTAGGATATAAGTCAGCGCTCTTGTAAAATAATTTTGTTCATTAATCTCATTCTTCTCAAAAAAGTCAGGCAGCAGAAATTTGAAATCCGGCCAAGTCTGAGACGAAGTTAATTTGGGTGCATGCTTATATGGAAGAGAATAGGTCTTTTGTATGTAATTATATATAAGCTCCATAGGGTGACCCTGCATCACACAGGATGTAACTGAACAGCCTGTAATTGATGAGGTTTCCATTACCACAGAACATAGTGTGCACAGAAGTGAGATCATAGAAGAATTTTTTTTAAGTGTTAAGTATTTTCTTGTACAGCAAGCTAAATTCATAGTACAAGGCAATAAGAAACTCGACTTTCTGGAACCATTTAGTAGTATATATGTACATAGAACTGGGTTATACAGACATGCTTGCAATAATACTATTTAAAATTGAAAGGTAAATTGAATCATGCAAAACTAGTGAACACTTTTTGTTTAATATGCTGAGTGAAAAAACTGCTATTTCAACTGAGATAATTTTAACCTATTCAAAATAACTACATATCATTTTGAAAGTATCACAGTTTTGCACAGAAAAAATGGATATTTGAATAACTGAATGAAACATGGAGATATTTCTGTTTGAAAAATGATTTTAAAACATTAAAAAAAAATTTCCACTCATTAGAAGTTGTGCAGAGAGAGAACACATAGTGGCACTTGAAAAGAAAAAAAACACGCTGAATATCAAATAGAGTTTTAAATTTGCTCCATGTGCTTCACAGCCTACTCGATTATAAAGTCACATTTGGCAAATAATGTGCTAATAACGTACTGCATTCCACAAAGGCTCTAATTTTACAAAAATTACATTACATCCTCATTCTCTAACATATACGTATCTACATACTGTGATGTCTCCACAGGGAATGTAGATTTCGTGAGCACCGTATGTAAAATTTCAGATGACTGGAGACACAATTTGTGCCGTTGCCACTATTTCAGCCGCACACAGGAACATCAGACTAATACAGCATACCATCGTTGCAGCGTGTCAGTGTTTGAGGCTGTTTTATACTGGTTTTCAGGAGCAACCTCCAAGCGCACCTTTGTGTTCCTCTCCCAGGAGAGCCGTTTGGCGGACCTCAAGCGCGCAATGGCATGAAGACACAGTGGATGAGCGGGCAGCGCGACGCAAGCGTAAAGCCAGGAGTGCGCCAACATGACCGTGTCGACACAGCAGAGAGCATGGGTAGTACATGCTTTATTTCCTCATGCTTAGAATAGGAGGTAAACATGGCATCAAATGAGCTGCAGGCTGCTAACTAGGGGAAAGGTGAGTTTGTGTAGCCATTCTATAAATAACCGTATTTTAAAAGGCAAGATTATGCCAAGGCGGATATTGTGAAGAAACAGAATAGAAAATGGCATTTTTTTAACAGATAACACATATTTGCTACAAAATGGGACTGTAACGTGTTCCCTAGCGTGACTACCTGGGGTGTATGTGATTTTTTGGTACTTAGGTCAGTGAATCTGTCCTTTAAAGGAAGCTCTGTAAGTGATCTAGTCTGTGCTTGTGCTGGAGAAACAACCCACTCCAAAAGAAAAAGATCAATGGTCAGGATACACCTTTGTTAAAATATTTAACATTTGTTAAAATGTTCAACATCTTGGTTTAGATCCAAGATAGATAAGGTGAAAAAACCACTCTTCTTTTGGTGTCTTCACTGTCGTAAGACATACATTTTGGACTCTCTTTCATGTAGAAAGTGGCCCTTTCAAATCAGTTGACGTTAGGTTAGCCTGCCACAGAGCAGGATGAAGCCTTATTTATTCAAAACATCCACTGTCAGTGAGGACAACTGGTTCACAGAGCTGAGACATATGACCTTCTACAATTTCCTCTGACATTCATGGTGTAGAAGGTTTCCTGGGGTAAACAATGGTTTATAAATGTAGTTGTTTAAATAAGTTCTTCTCCTACAAGTAATCCAGGTAGTCTTTTGCCAGTTATTTCTGTCTGGAATGATAGCAGGTGTCTTCTCTTTGTTCAGAGTTAATCTTTTGAAAATATTCCTTAATAATACCTGTTTCAGGACGTTGCACTTCACTGTTGTGAAGTGTAAGTGCCCATGCAAAGAAAACCACACACCACAGAAAGGTAAGTCAAGCAGGGTTGGTTTGTGTTTCCATCTTCTGTCTAAGCTCAGTGTCAGCTCCCCATTAGCAGCCATGGAATTTAGTCATTTCTTATATTTCCTGAAGGAATTTCTCAATATCCTGCAGGAAATCCAACAGCAGTTTATGTACAAAATGTAAATAAAACGTTTTTTTCTCCAGAGTCTCAGAGGGATGCAGGAATTACTTTAGCACTGATCCATTGTTAGATACATGCAATGACTCTTCAAGTATTTGATTTATTTTCATTGTATCATTCGATTCTGTTACTGGGAATGAGAAAGTATAAGGTGGGTCAGAGCTGTATTTTTATAGTTATTCACAATCTAAGCGTATGTCTATATTTTTAATAAGTCATCAATGATAGAGAATTATTAAAATACACCTATAGCTTATTAAATGGAAACCCATAAAATAAACATTAAAAGGGAAAAAATGGTAAATACCTGTGGGAGCAGGAATAATTTTGTCACAGGAGCCATATTTAGCATATTACAGAGTTTGAATTTCTAAATGTTTTTAATCTTGAAAAGCAACAGGCACTTCAGATTAGCACAAGCCTTACTGTGAGGACATTTGGTCTGCAAATTGGAATGCAAAGCAAGACATGCTCCTTTTTCCATCTTTCCCCTCCGTATGCCCATATAGCTATAATTTGGCACATATGTTTTGTTTATTTAACAGAAAAATATTTTAGAGGGCAAATACCATTTTAATTAGAAAATTCTGTTTTATACATCTGTAATTTCTCCCTGCGCTGCTGCACTGTGCTCTTAAAAATATAACTCAATAGATTTGATTTTTTAAGACTCTGTAAAATGCCCCAGGAACATAAATATATTGCTATATATTTCAAATGATTTACTTACTAACATTTTTCAATACACATTTTCCTAACGGGGCACAAAAAAACCAAATATAATTCCCCAGCCACTTACTGATATTTACATTTGGTCCTGTGTCCGTCTCCTAGTGCTGGAATAATTGACCATGTAAAGAATTTCACATCTTTCCAAAAGTCTATTTTACGTCTATTCTTTTTAGTCAGTACATAGAAAATGTTTTAAAAAGATTTCACCATTGTACACTACTTGAGAAGTTCATTGTACGTGAACTTGAAAACAATTAGTCTCACAAAGTTGGAATGAAAAGAAAGCAGTATTTTTGCCAGTTCTTATTTTCAATGACCATTCTCTTTCTATCAGGTTTAAAAAGAGAGACTTGCACTACTTCCAGTATTGTGGCAGCACTCTTATCATTAGTTTTGGATAAGAATATTATTCTTTCAAAGGAACACATTTTCTTATAGTTAAGGGAGGGAAAGCTGAAAAACATTTTAAACTGACTTGATTTAAGGAGGTTGGGATTTATAGTTAAATGAGAAAAATAAATGCTGTGCTACCAAGAAGCAGTTTTAGAAACGGTTAATGCTCACCTCACAAGGGTACCGAAGGAGCGCTCAGACAAACCTAATCAGCGCAGGTTCAAAATACGTGATCTTTCTATATCCTCTTTTTGGTTTTGTATTTGGAAGCACTAGGACTGTTTTTAAAATATTTTTTTGGTTTACCTGTGATTTCAATTAGTTGAAAAGTTTCACTGTTAAGAACTGGAGTGTATTGCTCAGTGTTTATGACCTGAGTAAGTCCTGTGTGCCTTATTTGTTAACAATCTCATCAAAATCGGTGAGTCTTCACATGTTAGTGAATAGGTTTTGTGCGTTAGGAATACAAGCATTAGTTTGCCCATATGCTTTACCGTTTTATTAAATACTGATCTCTGTAGTCCCTAGTTTGATTTCACGGGTGTATACAGAGCTGGAGCAACCATATCACATTGACTAGTATATTTAAAGGAATGGGTAAAGGTGTGCTTGATATTTGTGCCTCCTTTTGATATGTTTAGTTGAAATTCTCAAACGTAACTTCTTAAGCTTTAAAACAAATAAGATGAGGATATCATACGCAAGTGGGAGGATAAACTGTACAATATGGGATCAGACCTGACCTTGCACTACTGAGCTATGCCCCTTGCAGTTAGAACAATACTGGCATTGTGCAGGCCTGCCATAGACATTTGCACTTTGATTGCCTTCATTACCACAGAATGTGGAAAATGTCTGGCAGGAGCTTTGCAAAGGACCAGCAGAGAGGGCAGTGAAGAAAGGGGGCAAAGAAGGGAAGATCCACTGCTGTAACTCTTGGCAAAACAAGCTGCTTTCTTATTCACTTCACTGGTGGCTTAATTATCCTTTACTCCTTGACTTCTGACTGATCTGCCTTTCTTACCTCTCCTCTGATCCTTCTTGCCCCATCATTATGCTTTTCCCATTGCTATTTTTGATAATCTGATGGCAGCATGGAATTATTCATTTCAATTTACTACCTTTGTATTCTAGTCATCCTGGCTGGGATAATGATTTATCAACTAAAAAGTAAAAAAAAAAAAAGAAAATTAAACCCATTGGATTATGAAAAGCCATGGATTTTTGTATTCGTAGTGATACAAAAGATACCCAGTGACTTCTCTTGCTTTTAAATTGATCAGCTCAGCCCATCATTTACTTCTGTGAATAAAATAAACACCATATTACTATGCACACTACCTTTTATAGATTAGACTTCTAAACATTGTTACTTTTCACGTTCTCTAATACATTCTGATAGTGTCTGTCTAAATCCTACTAGACTGATTCCCCATGTTACATTAATTAAAGTATCGATAAGTTTGATAGTTGTAAAATCACAAAACCTCGGATTATTTTTAGTATGAGAATTGTCCTAATTTGGAAGAAGGTCTTGGACAGAACCTTTGTTTGGCCCTTAGGGATCAAATAAGTAACCTCCGTTTGGAGCTGTAGGAGGTGGAGCTGCAATTTGGATCATGAGAAGTCCATGTTTGTGCTTTTTTTTTTCTGTATACATAGGTTTTCCTTTCTGAAACGAATTTCCCAGAACCCAAGAAAAGTAAAAAGCAACCTAATAGCTCTGGAAAGCATGTAAGTAAATGAAACACTGGGAAGGAAGATAAATAACAAATTCAGGAATATGTTTAAAAATGTTCTGCACAAATAATATGCTGATGCAAACTACTGCATCATAATCAGTTATGGAGGTATCCAGGAAAACATTAGATCATATTGAAAACAAATTTTAAAAGGAAAAGTACTGAGTATATGAGGTACTGGATAAGGATGAGTTTTCTGGAGTGCAAAGACTTCAGACACAAGTTTTTCACCATACAAAGCTATTATGTATTGTAATATTCTGTATAGTAGGTTTATCTATTCACTTTTACTGCAATTTAGTAAAAACAAAACAACTCTGAAAAAAAAGTCATGGTAGCATAATCACATAGAATGAGCACAGACACAGTATTTTAAACCAGAACATGTATAGGATTGTTCTGTAATCATGACAGGACACAATTTCTGCCCGTAGGATAAAACTGGCAATATAATTTTAATGTCTTGTGTGAGGAACTGAGGGAGAAAGCAGAAGATACATGAAACGTTTTCTCATCTCAGTGCTGATGGAGTTAAGTCTGAGAGTTAGTGAGCACTGAGGTGTATAGAAATATGCTTCTTTGTTATTCAAAGCATAACAAATTCGCACTTCTTTAACACTTTGAATTGTAATAATAAAGCCAGCAGATGTAAGGTAATTAGGTTTATACTGCCCTTGAGGGGAATGGATCATGTTCTGCTCAGGGTTACAACAGATAACTCCACTGAAGTTCCTACAGTTACTCGAGATTTGCTCCTGCCTCGCTACAGGCTAATTGTGGGGCAGTGTTTTTAAAATGAGAAGGCAATAAAGAGAGGTCTAGATGCAATGCCACATCCATCTGGTTGCAACACAAGGCTTTTTGAGGCATATATACAGCTATTTCAGTTAAAATGCTAGTCGTATTTTAACACAGTCTCCGAACATGGTGAGGAGCCAGTAATATTTGATCTCCAACTGACATGGGACTTAGGGGCTCAGGGGCCTTTTTTAGTTAACATTTTCTCACCATTTTAGAAGGAAGCTTGTGAATTAATTGCCATAAATCACTAAATTTGTCAAAAGAAATAATGTGGTAATCTACTTACTAAAATACGGATGTAACTGTTGGCAAGCTATGTCTGACTGTAGTGTGTAAGGTAGCATCTCTTTGAAATCGCATATGTCTAGCGCTTCAATCTTCATAGTGAGAGATACCAAGCTACCAGTCGTTGTAGTTGCAGTTAAAATACAATACGCTACTGTGATGAAGATGACTGAGGGGCAGATTGTGCTAACATTATTCATATGTAAGAGTATTGCACTCTGTTCTGCGTGAATAGTCCCAATGACTTCAATGGAACTCTTAATAGAGGAAAGGATCATGTGAGCTGGGACCTTACAGTAACCAGCTATGTGTGTCCTAACCAGAGTTGCAGTGCTCAGACTGTCTAGGAATTATAGAGCAAATTCTTTTCTGAGTTTCACTGCTGTGTATGGTTTACGTAGAGCATATGGGCAAGTCACTATTTAGTTTCTGGAACAGGCAGCAAAGAAAGCAGGTAGCAAAAGAAAACATTCTACAGTTTTTTTCCCCCCAAATAGAAAGGCCTACCTTTTGGTATGGAAATGAAGACAAGGAAAAGAAGGGACTGTGGAGTTTCTTTCTGTCACACAAGATGCTTAGAAATAAAGGTCTGTCTGGTTACTGCATGAGCAAAAGCGTATTTTACAAATGTTAGCGTACGGAGCTTCAGTGGCACAGTGATAAACCTGCACACAGTTAACATTAAAAGAGCAGTCAGCAGAAACTGCTAGCTGGAAAATCCCTGTAGTCCTGCGCAGGAAGGAAAAAAGTCTGCTCCATTGTACCGCTTTCAGAATAACCTATTTTTCATTTTAGTTTTAGTTGGTAAAAATGAAACAGGAGGGCTTTTGCTTTTAATTTATTAAAAAATTAACATTAGTAATTGAAAGTGAAACAATTTCATTTTCAAAGTAAAGTCAGGTAAAACAAAACCTACTATATTAATAATCTGAAATTGCTTTGTACGTAGGATGTTTTGAATTAAAAATATATTCTATACTTGTAGTAATCTGTGAAATGTGTAGAATAAAGTATCTTGATTGGAGGAATTTAAAAAAATGAGGATCATTTTCATTCCTAGCAATTTGGCAAGTTCACTGCAAGTTCTTAAAATACTCATTTGACCCACCCACATTTTTCAGCAAAGTTCAAAAAGCTTCAAAAAGCTTCTCTACATTTTGAGAAACTACTCCAAATACTACTACACTACTACTGCTACTCCAGTAGTGCTGTTCTTCCAGCAGCGCTGGATGCAGCTTGAAGAAGCCAGAACAATATTTTCATCAGATTATTTCAGAGAGTACATGAGATTATTCCAAGTAGGGGACTTAGAAATATTTTTATACTTTTTGAACATTTGTGTGTAAACTACTTACTTTCACTGACAAAGTGGAATGAAATACAGCACCATGCAAAAGCAAAGACATGAAATGATCTCTTTTGAAATTCATTTCAAAAGTCCTCTCCAAATTAGTAAGGAGGCTACGATCAGTTAGTCCAGAGGCACCAGCTCTCATGCTGTCACCAACATGCAACATCAAGGCTTCGTGTCCTTTACGAAGGATCGCTACAATACTGGATCAAATGGCAGCCAAATTTGTTCTGGATGAAGTGTGAAAACGCAGCACACGTCTGTCTGTCAAATTATCCGAACCGTGTGATGCTGTGTTTATGAGGACTCTATGTTGCCTGTATTCTGGCTTACTGAGGACAAACAGTACTTGGGCCTAATATAAACTCTGCCAGGACTAAGATACTTCTACACGATTGTAAAACAAAATTTGAACTACTACAGTGAGTATGTATAGATTCATGCTTCTTGTACTTTCACAATATGCACATTAAATCAGATTTGCCATCTTACAGGGACACAGCCTAAGGCAGAGGTAGAAAAGCACACACAGCCACAGTCAACGGGTGTTGTAGCGACTGTCTCTTATTCAAAATGGGCCCCCAAAATGAGGTTCCTAACTTTTAAAAAATTTTTTAGAGAGGTCTATGTACTTGACTAAAAGCATGGGGAAAGGGACATGCACTAAGTAGTGCCTGTGATTTGTTCATTGTGTCCATTTTCCATTCGTCTGATTTGAGTTAAAAGGCAAAATTCTCTTCATTTCATCCACTTGGTGCATTCAGTGTTCTTAACTTAGTAATTCATAGAGCATATAATTGGGAATAATTTAGTTTGAAATTTGCAACGGGAAGAATAATTAAGGTGAGAGAACAGTGAGATTAAACTGCTTGGGCCTAATTCTCCATAACTTTTAAAGTCATTTATACTGACACATACTAAGATAGCAGTTTTTGCTAAATAGAAGTTTAGTTTTAGTCTTGCTAAATAGTTTTGCTAAATAGTCTAAATAGTCTAGCAGACTAGACCTGAATATATGGCAATATAACACAAGTGCCAAATGGGTGTGAACAACTGTTATTCGGTTGCGTTTTATTACTATTTTCCAATGGTATAAATGGTTAAACAAAGTGAAACAGAAAGTCTGCTGACTGTATTTGCAGACAACTATTTGAAGCTGGAAATAGATGTAAGAATGCTGGAGGACATGATTAGCATTCAAAATTATCTTAACAATAGAGATGATTAGAAATAATAGAACAGATCAATAAAGCAAAGAGAAAGGTTATGTACTTAGGTAGGAGTAATCAGTTAAACAGAAACAGGATGAGAAAACAATTGGTTAGATAAATCTGAAGGAAAAAATCAGGATAACGGATCAGAGTCGAATGCAATTTAACAAAGTCATCATTTGCAAAAAAAGAGAAAAACTGCACTGAGATCCTTGAACTGGTCTGTAGCCTGCAACACATACTAAATAATGTTTGTATTTCACACAGCATTAGCAAGGCTTCATCTGCAGCTCAATGCCTAGTTTGGGGAACTGCCATTCAAGAAAGATCTGACTCAATTAGATGCTGTTCCAGGCAGGAGAAGGATCACAGTCTTAGTCTACAGAGCAGCAGAGCGAGAAGAAAGTTTTTCCAGGACATAAAGGACTCTTGCGTAGAGGATACAAATAAACTTCTGCATGTTGGTGGTGAGCACTATGAAATGTATTTCTTTCTGTCCATTTGAAGTAATGATTGTAAATTGCAGCAACAAATATTTAGACTGGACACTAGGAAAAAAAATCTAAATGTAAGAACCCAGAAACTCTGGTGTGGATTCCCTGCGGAGGCTGATGCATTTCCAGCTCTGCATGTTTGTAGGTTTGACAAACACGTCAGGGATGATATCAGTAAAGCAAATCTTGGCTTGGGATATGAGAATAGATTAGATGAGCTCTAGAGGTCCCTCACAACCCTTTTGTGATGATTCCCTGACAAGGACACAGAAAATCATGCATGATATAAATAAAATACTCCAGCATCAGTGATCAAACCCAAATCCATAGATTGGATTATGGCATGGTATATACATATGTATAGCTCTTCTTCACTCCAGACGGGCAGAATTTGGCCTGATATTTATCCTAGCAGAAAGTAAATGACGCCAGACTGCCAAAACCACAGCATACACAGAGAAGAAAGGGAAGGAGCATTCTGCAAAAATACTTTTTATTTTGAAACAGTGTATGTATGTAGCATAATATCTTTCATAGCCATTAGTGTTTGTTAAGATTAGCTTGTCTTAGCAACCAGTTCTAAAAACAGAGCGCGGGCTTGCACAAACCTCATCATATCACATGCGGGAGGAAGTGATTTTGTTACTGTGCAGGGACTTCTACTGTATTCATTACAGCCAACAGTAGCAAACAAGCATACAGTAGTTTGAGGTTAGCATTTCTTCTTCTGTAACATTTCTGTAGATAGGACAGTATAAGTAATAACACACTCCCTATTATAATGATAATACATCATCTATTGGTATTTTGAGTTTTGAACATTTAAAAGCCCCATCACGTTGCTGATGTTCTATGCTAAGAAATGTCAATAGTTGAAAATATTATTTTCCGTATGTATTAGTCTGCATTGCTCCAATCTCCTTGTCTTCATTTATCTTTCCGAGTTTTAGTTTTGACCTGCATATTTTGTTGAAATATATACCATGTAATAAAGAGAATAACGGTTTGCATCACAAAACAGTGGGATGGTATCTGGCACTACGATACCAGTGGAGGAACACGTATGTTCTGTCTGATAGAGAACTAAATGTCACTGTTCAGCTCTTGCTGTCCACGTGTTTGGATCTGACAATGTTAGGAAAGATTGGTCTATTTCAGGAAAGCAAACATTAACATTAATTAGACACGCTGAGATAATTTATAATGTTTCTTTATTTTTACTTAAGTTCGCCTTACTAAGAACTGAACTTTATTGCAGGACTTTTGAATCGAGACTGTCTGCCCCTGTGGGTCCGCATTCTTGCTTCAGTACAAATTGCTGATGGAATGAAAATCAGCATATGATATAAATTATATACATTCAAAGATAGCTAGTAGAAGATGAGAGGGGGAAAGGAAAGGAGCAGGAAAAGAGACCAGAAATCAGAGAAGAAATGCCTTAAAAATATTGCAAAGCTACCTCAATCCAGAACTCTCTAAACTGTTGGAAAAGTTGCTAGCAGAACACAAAGATCAAGTTAGGAATGACTAAATTGGGTAAGAAAATGTGTTAAATTGCAGTTGGCCATAATGGACTTACTAAGGAGAGAAGCGTCGAAGACTTAAAACTGTCACAGCCGTGAAATATCTTAGAGAATGAATCTTGCTGAAAAATACCTCTCCAAAGATTTTGCACAGTTGTTTGCCTGAAGGAAGCGATGAAACTTAATGGTTGAGTGAAAACTAATTTAACATCTACATTTGAAAAAAGAGCGGCAACTCTTCTGCTCAGTGACTCCCGAGAAGCCTAGAAACCAGCTTTCAATCAGTGGGAGATGTTACTGTTCACAATCAGTTTATCTATATGTTAAAGTTACCTTGTTTCCCCTTAGATGTTGGGCATCATGCAAGAATTCATTACTAGGTCATTTACAATGAACCCACTGCAAGATGCCATATGTCCATTAATACGGGAAATCAGCTCAATCACAATGATGCTCTCAAACACTAATTTTAGCAGTTTTAAAGAAAATAAATGTTTTTATTATTGTTCTCTTTCAGTTGATTTTCCTAAAATATTTTTCCCGAGTAATTCCTTTTTAGCCTCCCTGTGGCAATGCAGCACACTCATGTTTTGAGGGATCATGCTCTGGAAAGCTGACGCTGCGCTGCTGGTGGTGACGTACTACTACCTGAGGTTCGACTAGAAAACCATTTAATCCCGTTTCTTCTTAAATTATCAAAATAATGCTAATAATTGCCCTCATGTTATCGAAAACCAGGCAGCACAGCAGCTTTTCCCTGGGGGAAACACAGAGTCAGTCACCTAGCGGGAACTTCTACGCAAACATTTGCGCGGATCAAATAAACCCTCAGAGTCGACTTGAGGAAAAGCAAGTGGAGGCATGCAGCGATGTCTGATCGCTCCGTGATGCGGCTCTGCATCCCCAGCTTTAGAGGCGGCTTGTTGCTTCCAGTTTCCTCGACGCTGGCTTGAGCTTTTTAACCCGACCGTGACGTTTCTCCTCCTGGTCCGCGCTCACGGCTCACGCTCTCGCCGCGGAGGCAGCCCCTGCGCGATCTCCCGCGGCACCACGCAGCTGGCTGCTCGGCGCTGGC